TTAATATAACTGGGATATAGTAAATCTAAATCTAGTCTAGCCGTATGTTAACAACACCTTGAATATTATTATAATTATGGGGGGGAGTGCAAAAACCCGTAGTAGGATTATACAGCAACAATACCTTGAATCAAACCCCAATCCTCGTGTTTTCCCAGCGCTGTGTATCCTTACAGGGAAGAGCTAAATCAAGTAGTTATACGTGAGAAATGAGAGGCAATCAAGTTTGATCCAGGATCAAGGCACCTTTCTTGAGGGGCCATGGATCCATGACTATAATGATAATGTTAAAAATACATTAAGAAGATATAGTTAGAGGGATAGCTAAATTTTTAGCCATTCACTGCATATTTATTTACATTAAGAGACCCAATAGTAACAAAATCTTCCAAGCTGCCTTCCTGTTCAAGATAAAAAAACATGGATGAGAATTGGAGAGCAGCATCACCGTCTGTACGCGTATCTCACCTAAATCTTCGTGTCATGTCCTGCATCTTAGTTCATTAAAAATCGTTTGTTTAATTTTACCTCAGCTTACCTTAATCTTCACATCTTTGTTTGCCTCTGCTCGCCTCGGATATTTGGGCGATATATCAGGATTACTCAGCATGATTAATGGTTGCTGTTATAAAGATGACTATGTTATTTAACTGCACACAACATTTGTAGTAAAGTTTAGTAACTTCTGAAACCATTGGTCTTTATATGATACTTCAGGACAAGGTCTCTGAAAAAATAGAGGAAAAGTTGCAGACAAGCTTTTATTGTACATTTCAGTGATTATTTTATTATTATTATTATTATTATTATTATTATTATTATTTGATTGTTGTTGTTATTATTGTTATTATTATTTTGTTTTGATGTCTCAACTGGGGGTTGGGAGTAGCCAATTAAGCTGTTAACGTATACAGAAAAGGGTATTAGAAGGGAATATATTTACAATGTTAAACCTATGTTAATCAATTCAGGTAAGGGAGGGGGGTGGAACCTAACTTCACATTGTTAGTGTGGAGGACTGACTTAAAATATGCGAGGAAAAAGGGGGGATATAAATCTTTGAGTGTCAGGGTTAAGTTTTCAATTTGAAGATTCAACCCTCATGGGATTTCTCAAAATTCTCATCCTTCGAGTGCCTCGATGTTGGTGAAGGGTTCATGTTCCAAGGAAGTGAAGCCGCCTTCCCTTCCTTGGACCAATCGATTATATCCCTTTTCCCGGGAAAAGTATGATACTTTTGTTAAAGTTCTTTCCATAAAAAAAAAAATTTTTACTCTTGGTCGGGACTCCTGCATTTTTTTTCCCCCT